TCTCGGCGCTGCCTTGGCGGATCTGGGAACATCATGCGGGGGTGGATAGGAATCATCAACGCATGGTGAGACGCTTGGGTTATCCGAGTGGCCTTCGGCCCATCTTGCAACAGTGCCTGAGTTGAGGCCTCTTGTCTATGTGTTGGGGTGTCGTGGGAAGCCCCAAGACGGCCTCTTCGAGGCGGTTTGGGCGCCTCTTGGGGGCCTTCTGGGGCCTCGTGGGGTGTCTTTTGGGCCTCTTGGAGGCCTCTTGGGCGCGTCTCGGGCGCCTCTTTGGGCTTGTCGGCGGCCTCTTGGGGCCTCCTGGGGGCTTCTCGGGGCACAGATGTCGAATGTTCGGTTCGTGGTCTCCTACCTGGGCCCCTCTTGGGGCTGTCTTGGGGCCCTCTTGGGCCGTCTTGAGCGCCGCTTGGGCCATCTTGGAGCCCTGTTGGGCCGTCTTGGGGCCCTCTTGGAGGCGCCTTGGGCTGTCTTGGGGCGGAATTGAAGGCTTCCTGAGCCGTCTTGGAGCGTCGGAAAACCGAACATGCGAGAAGGCCAACATCTTTCAAACACGTTCGTAAAATCTGCGCTTGTGGCCTTGGTGCTCTCTCGGGAGGCCTCCTGGAGAGCTCTTGGGGCCTCTTTGGGCCCCCTTGGGCCGTCTTGGAACCATCTTCGGGCGCCTTGGAGCACTCTTGGCCTCGGCAATGCGAACATGGCGTCATTTGCAAAAGGTTTTCATGGCTTCGGGGACGTGAGTATGGTGTACCTTAGAAGGGCTTGTTTCCGCGGGCATACTTTGGCCTCGCGGATGCAACAATTGTGTAGTGTACGAGGGTTCGCGGCCTCGGGGACGCGAATCTGGTGGAATTTACAAGGGATTATGGCCTTGGGGCCGCGAATCTTATGGATTTTTTTGTCCCGCGCCCCCCCTATGATTCCAGAGAGCGCGATCCTGGCGTGGTAAATTTGATCCTTTTCTGGGCTCCCCCCAATCGCGCGGACTTCAACGATTCACAGTAGGAAGCAGAACGCAGGGCTGTAACATTGGAGACTTGGAACTGCAACTGGTGCAAGGAGCAGCACACTTCGGCCTGCAGCCTGATGGCCCCACAAAGTGGGCTGGCGGATTCTAGACGCTTCGCGTAACCCCACTAGGGCTGTCTGAGTGGGCCGGCCGGCCGCGCCTGTCTTAGCTAATTCGCCTAGTTCGTGTCCCGGACTTTGCTTTCGCCGCCTGACCGTCGTCTCGTGGCCGCGACCAAAAAGTAACCCCACTAGCCTGTCCAGAGACGGTGCCCAGGCGAGTTGCCCTGATCAGGGATGTGGAAGAGCATGCAATGAAACAGCGGGCTGGGGACGTCGTCGTACCACAAGAGGGGGGCGATGGAGGAGGAATCGGAGGAGGACGAGCGGGTGGGGGAGGGGGAGGCGGAGGAACATGCGGAGGAAAAGGAGGAGGAGGAGGAGGAGGAGGAGGAGGAGGAGGAGGAGGAGGAGGAGGAGGCCGAGGAGGAGGAGGAGGAGGAGGAGGAGGAGGACGAGGAGGAGGAGGAGGAGGACGAGGAGAGGAGCAGGAGGAGGAGGAGAAGGGCGAGCAGAATGGCCAGAGGCCTCTTGGATGCCTTTCGGGGTCTCTTCGGATGTGTCTTGAAAGCTTATGTGAGTCCTCTGGAGCGTCTTGGGGGCCTCCTGGCGGTCTTGGTGACCTCTGAGAGACAGCGTGCCAGTGAATGGCCCTGAAGACACAAACGGGTGTGTTCTCGCAGAACCTCCCCCCCCTGCCCCTTCAGAGGGGGGATGAGATTTTCGACCCCCCCATCCCTTCCCCCCTTAATGGGGGGGGTTCCCCCCCCCTTGAGGGGGGAGGTCCGGGCCCCCCCCCCTCCCCCCCTTGGCGCTGGAAAGGGGAGGGGGTCGAAACCTCCTCCCCCCCTCCCCCCCTTTGCGCCGAACAAGGGGCTGGGGAGGGGGCCTCTCCGGTAGTGAGTAGAGAGTAGAGTGTTTTGAGTAGCGATTGGTGAGTAGTGTAGTGCGCAGTGAGTCGTGAGTGGTGAGTAGTGAGTAGTGGGTAATGGGTAGTGACAGTAGTGATTAGCGCGTAGAGATTAGTGAGTAGTGAGTAGTGGGTAGTGAGTAGTGGGAAGGAAACAGTGAATAAGGAATTGTGAGTAGTGAGTAGTGACGAGTGAGTAGTGTGTAGTGCGTAGTGCATAGTGAGTAGTCCGCAGGGAGTAGGGGTGAAGGAGTAGACAGTAGCGACTAGCGAGGAGTGAGTAGTGAGTAGTGAGTAGTCAGTAGTGCGCAGTGAGTAGAGAGTAGTGAGTGGTGAGTAGCGAGTAGCGAGTAGCGAGTAGGGAGGAGCGAGTAGGGAGTAGCGAGTAGCGAGCAGTGGGTAGTGAGTAGCAAGTAGGGGTTGTGAGTAGTGAGTAGTGAGGAGGGAGTAGTCAGGAGTGTGTAGTGAGTAGTGAGTAGTGAGTAGTGCGTAGCGAGTAGGGCGTAGCGAATAGTGAGTACAGAGTAGTGAGTAGTGAATTGTGGGTAGTGAGTAGGGAGTAGTGAGTAGTGAGTAGTGCGTAGTGCGAAGCGAGGAGTCGGTATTGGCTAGTGGGTAGTGAGTAGGGAGTAGCGAGTATAAATTAGTGTAGTGAGTAGTGAGTCGTGAGTAGTGAGTAGTGAGTAGCGCCTTGCGACTAGTGACTAGGGAGTAGGGAGTAGGCAGTAGTGAGTGGTGGGTAGCGAGTGTTGCGTATTCGGTAGTGAATAAGTCGTATTGGGTGGCGAGTAGCGGATAGTGAGTAGTGAGTTGTTGGCTGTGCGTGGTGAGTCGTGAATGGTGAGTTCTCAGTAGTAAATAGTGGATAGTGCAGTGAGTAGTGCTTAGTGAGTAGTGAGTAGTGGGCGGTGAGCAGTGTTCATTGACTAGAGTGAATATTGAGTACTGGGTGGTGAGTAGTGAGTAGTGAGTCGGGAGTAGTGATTGATTCGGCAGTAGAAAGTAGTGAGTAGTGGGTAGTGGGTAGTGAATAGTGCGTATTGGGTAGCGAGTAGGGCGTAGGGAGTGGCGAGTAGTGAGCAGTGAGTAGTGAGTACTGTGTAGGGAGTAGGGAGTGGCGAGTAGCGAGTAGTGGATAGTGAATAGTGAGTTGTGGGCACTGAGTAGTGAGTAGTGAAGTGTGAGTAGTGAGTGGTGGATAGTGGTTAGTGGGTAGTGGGTAGTGGTTTATGATTAGTGAATAGTTGGTAGTGATTTGTGTTTTAGTGCGTAGTCAGTATGGAGTAGTGGGTAGCGAGTAGTGCGTAGTTTGTAGTGAGTAGTGAGTAGGGAGTAGGGAGTAGGGAGTAGGGAGTAGTGCGTCGTGCGTAGTGAGTCGTGAGTAGTGAGTAGGGAGTAGTGAGAAGTGAGTAGTGAGTAGCGGGTAGTGAATTGTGGGTAATGAGTGCGTAATGAGTAGTGAGTACTGTTTGGGGCTAGGGTCGGGGTTAGGGTTAGGGGTTAGGGTAAGGGTGAGGATTAGTGTTAGGGGTGGTTGGGGTCGGGTTCCGGAGACCCGGGGCGCCGTGGCGAAAGGGGGGGGGTCCAATTTGGCGGCCAAAGGGGGGGAGTGGGTGTGGGGTTCGGACCCCCCCCCCTTTTTGAAAGGGGGGGAGGGGGGGTCCCCGACGACGGACCTGGAAAGGGGGGTTGGGGGTTCCCGACGACGGATCGGGAAAGGGGGGAGGGGGGGGTTCCCAACGACGGATCGGGGAAATGGGGGGGGGTCCCAAACCCTCTCCCCCTTGGGGCCATCCAGCGGCGCGCCCTCCCTCTAAGAGCGTCTTGGGTGCCCCTGGGAAGCATCCTGTAGCCACTTGGCGGTCTCTTGGGGGCCTCTTGGGGACCTCCTGGAGGCCTCTTGCGGCCTCCTGGGCGGCTCTCGGGGGCCCTCCTGGGGCACCCTGGCGTCGACGACGACTTCCCCGACGACGGTGGTCCTCTCCTGGACGGCGGCGGCCCCGTCGACGACGCTGCCCCGGCCGGCGCAGCGGCGACCCTGGTCTGCGGGACTGGGAAACGGCGGCGCCAGGACGGCCAACGCGGCTCCTGCGGCGACCCTACCTCCCCTTGCAAAAAGCAACTGGTGTTTTTCTACACACCTCCCCCCCAACCCCCCAATTTCAATGTTCAATGCGGTGCCGATTTTTTCTCGACCTTGGCCGGTCGCGCGATCAGCATTGAAATGGGGGGCCGGGGGGCTCGCCAAACACCAGATGCTTTTCGCACGGGGTTGTTGTGTCGCCCCTCCACCGAAATGTCGACGGCACGTCCCCCCTCCACCCTCCGGGTCCCTCCCTGGTGGTGGTGTCGTCGGAGGTTGCTTCCCACTAGTTGACGTCGGCGGGCCGCGCGGCCCGCGCGGGCCGGCGCCGGCGCCGCAGGCGGCGGCGCGCCCCAGGTCGTTTCGCGTGTTTTCTCCTTGCTGGGAGCTAGGACACAGGCATCCTGCTGCTGCTCACCATATGGCCATCTTGGGGCGATCTTGGAGGAGATCGATCAAAGAAGGGATGGTCCCATATCCCCCCCTCCCCGGATGCCGACATGGGGCTAACGTGGGTAGCATCATTGATTTTTGCCTTCTCGCCGAGGCCTTCTTGGGCGCTCCAATTGGTCGCGGGGCGCCCCGTCCAGGCCCAGGGGCAGGGGGAGGGGAGGAAGGGGAGTTGGAAGAGGATACATCCGGAACCACTCGCGCCCGGAGGGCTGGTCGTGTCTCATTCTCGCTGTCCCTGCGCATTCGCTCGTCCCCTGCGCTTCCCCGAGGCGGGTGGGGTGGCAGTATTACTTGTTCACCGTTTTTTTTAGTTTGTTCTTCCCCAATATCTCTCTCTCTCTCTCTTTCTCTCTTTTCTCCCCTCTCCCTTTCTATACCTCTTCTCTCTCCCCCTCTCTACATGTATATGTCTGCGCTTCGGTCGGTCTTTCCTGTGATGGCCAGGCAAAGATGGGGTGCGTCCGGGCCCCCCCGCGGGGCGATCAGGCGCAGCCGCACCTGCTGGCCCCGAGGCGGGGCGGCTCTGGCGATGGAGGAGCGGATGCCGCGCCTTCCTTTTCTCGGAAACTGGAGCATATACATTACCTGTGGCGGGCGGTTTTTCAATCTCAGGACTTTAAAGTCGGGGACGACGTCCGGGTGGTGTCGTGTACACTGTTTTCCCCGTTTTTTCCCCAGGGAAACAACACAAGATGTAGACACCAGGATCCCGTACACGCCAGGATCCGCGTTCTTGTGCGAATTTCGGCGCAGGGTCGGAAAAAGCGTCGGTGTATAGAGGTCGGTTCCCTGTTTTCTTCTCCGACCTCTCCCGCGCCTCTCGCTCCCCTTCCCTCCTCTCCGCGGGCGACTCGCTGCCCTGCCCCGCCCGGTGGCGTCCCCCGAGGCGTCGTCGGCCCTCGGCCCAGGAGGGGGTGCGCTGCGCACCCGCCCTGCGGGCGGAAGCGAGGAGCTGCACGCACCCCGCCGCGACGGAGCTGCCCGAGGGCAGTCCTCGCAGATGCTGCTCCCGTTGCCCCTGCCTCTGCCCCTCGCCCTCTGTTCCTGCCCTGCTTTCGCGCGCTCGGCCCCGACTGCACAGGACAGCTCGAGAGGACGCAGGACCCTTCCGAGGGCCACACCGCCACAGGAGCGTAGGGGAGGCACGCGTCGCGGGTTTACAGGACACAGAAGGGTACCCTTGAGCCGGCGGGGGTCGACCTACTAACCCGGGGCCGCCTGCATGCGGGCTTGTCAGGCCACGCGGGCCCGATAGGAGAGCATCGGGTAGCATTGTTTGCGCGGGGCGGCTTCTCCCCTCCGACTTCTCTTTGCCGATCGTTGCCGTCTTCGTCCTCGCTTGCCTCCTCCCCTCCACCTCCTCCTTCCCCCCCCTGGTTTTCATCGTCCTCCTCGTGATGGCCGCAGGAGGCCACAGGAAGGTCTAGGATCTAAAAGGTTTTGGGAAGCACCAGGAAATGGGAACAACCCGGTCCAGGAGGCCCCAGAAAGCTCAGGAAACAGAGGGGGGCCCCGCGGATGCATTGGAAGATCCCAGGAAACCGCAGATTTCCCCAGGAGGCCCCAATCAATTCCAGAAAGCCCCAGGAAGGTCCAAGATGCCCCAGGAAGCCGAGGGAGACTCCACGACGCCGAAGGAGGTCCCTGGAAACCACTGGGTGCTATCACCCATGCTCAGGCTCAGTGGTAGAGATTCAAATCCAGTCACACTCAGTCATCCTCAGTCACTCGCACGCAATCGCTCACACTCAGACGCACCCACACGCATGACTTCAGCTCGCTCATGCTCAGGCGCTCGTCAAGGGAAATGTTACAAAGCGGTGCGCATTTTGGCATCTCCGCGTTGTGAGATTTTTCCAGAGGTCCTGAGACTTCTTCAACGGCTTTGCTGAGTGTTCATTACCATGGAATTCGTTACCATCCGCCCAGGCGCTCTCGCCTCGGCGCTGGCTACATGCTTCTTTGAAAGCGAGGCTCATTCTCGAGCGTTTCGGAAGTCCGCCCAAACCGGCCCCCAGAAAATGGGGAACGCGATTCGGGACGGCTCGCCATTCATTAGTAAATGGGTTATCTGGGTGCCTTGCCGCAACTGGTGCATTCCCCCCTCCGTCCCGTCCTGCTCAGTGCCCTCATCTACCCTGTCGGCCTCCTCCCTCCTCCTCCTCCTCCTCCTCCTCCTCCTTCTCCTCCTCCTCCTTTTCCTCCTCCTCCTCCTCCTCCTCCTCCTCCTCCTCCTCCTCCTCCTCTCTCTTACTCGCCTTCCTCATTCCTCATCCACACCTCCTCTCCCTCTGCTTCCTTGCAGCGTCCGTTGAAGTGTGTTCTCAGGATCAGTGTCTTCGACGGCATCAGCAGTTCCAGGAGGGAGTGGGAGCACAAACGCACGAGGATGCAAAAGGAAGGAGGATGAGGATACAGAGGATGAGGGGGAGGGGGAGGGGGAGGGGGAGGAGGAGGAGGAGGAGGAGGAGGAAACGGAGGAGGGAGGAGGAGGAGGAGGAGGAGGGAGGAGGAGGAGGAGGAGGAGGAGGAGGAGGAGGAGGAGGAGGAGGAGGAGGGAGGAGGAGGACCAAGCGGAGGATCTTTGGGATAGGAGGAGAAGCAAGGATGAGGATGCGGAGGAGGCGAGAAGAGGAGGTTGATCACGAGGGGGGTGATGAGACGTATGAGGAAAAGTAGAGGGGTTGAGGGGATTAGGATGATGATGAAGAGGAGGAGTGGGAGGAGGAGGAGGAGGAGGAGGAGGAGGAGGAGGAGGAGGAGGAGGAGGAGGAGGAGGAGGAGGAGGAGGAGGAGGAGGAGGAGGACGAGGAGGAGGAGACGGAGGAGGAGGAGGAGGAGGAGGAGAGGAGGAGGAGGAGGAGGAGGAGAGGAGGAGGCGGAGGCGGAGGCGGAGGCGGAGGCGGAGGCGGAGGCGGAGGCGGAGGGGGAGGCGGAGGCGGAGGCGGAGGCGGAGGCGGAGGCGGAGGCGGAGGCGGAGACGGAGGCGCTGGAGGAGGAGGCGGAGGAGGAGGAGGCGGAGGAGGAGGAGGAGGAGGAGGCGGAGGAGGAACATGATAATGAGGCTGTGCGCAGAGGTTTGGGTGCGCACTGGTCAGTTCTACAATCGCATGACCGTACAGAAGACCCTCTACTGCTCGCGTCTTTCTTCGGACCCGGCCGCTTGTCTACCATCAGATGAGCAGACGAGCTCACTTGATATTGATGCTGGTCGATACTCTTGGCTGTTTGTGGTGGTTTTCGCTCCCCTGGTCCTCGCATTCTTCCTTTCCCCATTTTTTTTTTCTGTTCTGAACATCTGACTCGCGTCCCTCAATGCTGGCCCCGCAGTGGGCAATCAGTACAGCCTTGAATGATGTACGGTGGGTGCTCCTTCAATACGGCAGACGTCGGGAGAGGCATCTGATCCAGCAAATCCAGCTGCTGCGGCAAACCTCACCACCGTGCCAGCGCAGCATCGCAGCGTGAAGGAGGTTGATTTGAAAGCCTACGCTAGTTCAGCACGTGGTCTGAATTTGCGTGTATTGAAAACCCGAGCTCGTTGCCTCGGTGCTGAGGCCGTCTTGCAGTCCTCTAGTTTTAGAGGGTTCTCGAGCAGTCTTCGGGCCCATCGGTGCTCTCTTGGGGCAGTTTTGGGCCGTCTTGGGGGCTTCTTGGGGCTCTGTGAAGCTTTCCCAAGGTGATCTGAAGTCGACGAGGCTTCTCATGGCTTTTCCCTCCGGCTTTCCATGGCTTTCGCCTCTTTGGGCCTTGCTGCAGGTCTCTTGGGGCGTCTGATGGAGGCCTCCTGAAGAGATCTTGTGGTCTTTGGGGGCTCGTTGAGCCGTCTTCGATCGGTGTTAGGGTGCGTTTAAGACCCACGGCAGTTCAGCGCGCTGTTGGAACTCGCGTGGGCCTCAAACTCGACTTCGTTCCCTCGGTCTTGGGGCCGTCCTGGACCGTTTTGGAGGGTCGTCAGACAGTCTTTGGGCTATCCGGGGGCCCTTCTTCCGTCTGGGGGACTTTCAAGGCTCCTGTAGCCTTCTCGACTCCCGGGTCCCCACCACCGTCCGCCACATCCCCCACCGCTGTCCCAGCATCACCGTCCCCACCACCACTGTCCCCACTTCTCCCACCACCGTCACCACTGTCCCCACCAGTGCCCCCACCACAGTCGCACTGTCCCCTGTGTCTCCACCACTGTCCCCACCACCACCTTCCCCACCACTGTCCCACTGTCCCCACCACTGTCCCAGTGTCCCCACTGTTCCCACCATTGTCCCCGCTGTCCCCACCAGTGCCACCACCAGTGTCTCACTGTCCCCACTGTCCCCACCATTGTCCCACCACTGTCACATTCTCCCCATTGTCCCCGCCGCTGTCCCACTGTGCTGTCCCACACTTCCACTGTCCCCACCACTGTCCCTCTGTCCCCACTGTCCCCACCATTCTCCCCACTGTACCACTGTCCCACCACCGTCCTCACCACCGCCTTTACCACTGTCCCCACCACTACCATCACTGTCCCACTGTCCCCACGGTCCCCACCGCTGTCCCCACCACCACCGTCCCCACTGTCCCACTGTCCCCACCATTGTCCCACTGTCCCCACACCACTGTTCCCACCACCACCGTCCTCACCACTGTCCCAGTGTCCCCACCAATGTCCCACTGTCCCGATGAGCGGGAATCGTTCGGCGGCGGCGAGGCGGGCGGGGGGGTTCGAACCGGTAGTGACCCCCCCACCCCTTTTCATGATGGACGGGGGGGGAGGAAGGGGTTCGAACCGGTAGTGACCCCCCCTCGGTTTTCGAAGGGGAAGGGTTGGGAGCCCCCAGTGACCCCCCCCAGTTTTCCGCCAGCAGCGGTAGAACACGCTCTTTCGATGATGATGGTGATGACGATGATGATTGTGGTGGTGGTGGTGATGATGATGCTGCTGCTGATGACGATGATGCTGCTGATGATGATAATGATAATGATGGTGATGGTCAATGTGAATGGGATGGTGATGGTGATAGTGATGATTATGAACATGCTGATGATGCTGCTGATGATGATGCTGATGCGGATGATGATGATGATGATGGTGATAATGATGATGGTACTGATAATGCTGACGATGATGACGATGATGGTGATGTCGATGCCGATATCGACGATGGCGACGACGGTGTCGATGATGATGATGATGTTGATAATGCTGCTGCTGATGATGATGATGGCAATAATGATGTTGATGACGATGCTGATCATGATGATAATGCTGATGCTAGTGATGATGCTGGTGCTGCTGCTGATGCTGATGATGCAGATTATGATGCTGATGGTGATGCTGAATGTAAGTGCGATGTATATGGTGCTCTTGATGGTGATGATTGTGATGCTGACGCTGATGACGATGGTTATGGTTGTGGTAGTGGTGATTGTGATTATGTAGAGATGAAACTGGTGGTGGTGGTGGTGATAATCATGATGCTGATGATGATGCTGATGATGATTAGTGTGGTGATGCTGATGGTGATGATGATGATGATGATGAGGATGAGGATGACGATGCTGATGACGATGATGATGATGCTGCTGATGATGATGATGGTTCTGCTGCTGATGATGAGGATGCTGATGATGATGACGATGCTGAGCACGATGCTGCTGATGATGATGAGGACGATGCTGCTGCTGATAATGATGATGATGGTGATGGTGCTGATGATGCTGATGATGGGGTGATGGTGATCATGCTCATGCTGATGATGATGATGATGCTGATGATGATGCTGATGATGATGGCGCTGATGCTGACAATGCTGACACGATGATGATGATGATGATGATGATGATGATGATGATGATGATGATGATGATGATGCTCATGATGACGATGATGATTCTGATGATGATGATAATGACGATGATGATGATCATGATGATGATGGTGGTGGTGATGCAAATAACGATGGTGATGACGACGATGATGATGCTGATGACGATGATGATGATGACGATGCCAACGATGACGATGATGATAATGATGATTCTGCTGCTGATGATGGTGATGGTGATGATGATGATGGTGATAATGCTGATGAGGCTGATGCTGCTGATGATGAATATGATGTTGATGCTGATGCTGCTGATGATCATCACGCTGCTGCTGATGATGATCATGATGAAGATGATGCTGATGCTGCTGCTGATGATGCTGATGACGCTGATGATGATGCTGCTGCTGATGATGATGATGCTGATGATGCTGATGATGATGTTGATGATGCTGATGCTGCTGATGCTGCTGCTAATGATGATGATGATGATGATGATGATGATGATGATGCTCATGATGATGATGATGATGATGTCGCTGGTGGTGATGATGATGATGATGATGATGATGATGGTGATAATCATGATGCTGATGATGATGCTGATGATGATGATGATGCTGCTGCTGCTGATGATGATGTTGTTGTTGTCGTCGTTGTTGTTGTTGATGTTGACGAGGATGATGAGGAGGCGGAGGATGAGGAGGAGGAGGAGGAGGAATATGAGAAGGAGCAGGAGAAGGAGGATCATGACTAGCAGGACCATGAGGAGGATGATACTGATGGGGAGGAAGAGGATGGCCGTCACATGTGACGCCTTTCTCTCTCGCCATTTGAGGAACTCTCATTGAACTAGTTTGGGTCGTCCTGAGGCTTTCGTGTCCTCATGCGAGGCAGTCTTGGGGGTCGTTTGGGCCCTCTTGGGCCGTTTCAGGGCCGTCTTTGGCCGTCTTGGAGCTCTCTTGGGCCGTCTTGGGGCCCCCCTGGCCCTAAGACTGACAAGTGGGGCCGTCGTGGAGCCATCTTGGGCCGTCTTGTAGTCATCTTGGCCGCGGGAGCGCGAACTCGTAGAATTGTTCGGTGCGTTGTCTCCTCGAGAGCGCGAACCTGCCACACTCTTCGAGGATTGTGGCCTCGGGAGGCGGGCCAGTGCATGCAGTCCAGTGCGTCGAGGGGGGGGTGTCTCTGGAGATCACATGATCCCTGCAAGACAGTACTTGGCATTCCAGCATGCTTCAACGTGACAGGGGGCACGGTGGTATCAGCTCAGCAAGATGTGCAGCATCATACCTCGCAAAGTTGTGCAGAGGCATCCGATGCTCCTAGGTAGACTTTGTTTCAAGGCTTCAGCGGTACTACAACCGTGCACGCCGTAGCTGCACTACATAGCCTCACTGGTTCAGGCTTGCTGTTCAGCTTCCTTCAGCGATTCAGAGCTGTATCAGCCAGTTTCTAGGCCACGGCGTGTTTGCATTCTCAATATTTGCCTTGCCCCAATTCTAGCGTGTGCAGGCTTTAGTTTCGTACACGTAGCGCATCCACGCTGATCGCGTCCTG